GGTTGAGAATTGGTCTTACAGGTCTCACGAAAAACCATTGGTCTCACATGATCCCAAGTCTATATATATATATATATATATATATATATATATATATATAAATATAAACTTGTATACATATATTTGGAGTATATATATTCTAGAGTTAATCTGTTTACCTGAGGTTTTGTCCAGAACGATATCAGCAGACGATCCGTTGTTTTTGAGATGAATATTTGATGTTCCAAAGAACGTAGACATACCTTGGGTGATGGGCATAGGAGGGAAATGGTCCGTTAATCGCTCAACAGTCGGTGGCTGATAAATAGCACCTCGAGATGAACCCGATAACAGTAAACTACTGCTAAAGATAACATAACACAAAAGGCGAAAACGACCCATGAATTAAAACTGACTTTGTTAGGATAGTAGATACAAGAATTAGTGTGTGTTTTTGGGATGGTTCAATTGAATGAGGTTTATATATGAAAAGTGTTGATTAATTATAAGTTGCTTGGCTGTTGCAAAGCTGGATGTATGTTCCTAATTAAAGATGGTGACAAACTATGAATGATCACTGATTGATTCATGTCGGATGATTAGAAATAGGTCATAATAGGTGTTTGTTGGAAATTTGATCTCTCTAGTCCGGTTCTATATTAACTTAGGGGCCGTTTACTAAACGCTTACTTGGTAAGTGTTTAACGCATAAATTTCTTCATCGGATGAACATGAGAAGGGCCAAGAATCTTAACGGGTAAGAGCGATAAGAAGAATGAAGAGTCTTACCCGGTAAGTGAGGATGACGACTCTTACCTAGATAAGCGCTTACCTAATAAATTGTTACATTCGATATGCTTTGATGTACTAAAATCTTACGCATATAAATAAATTATAGTGTTGACTTCTATTGGTAAACGCTTACTGGGTAAGCATTTGGATAAACGGCCCCTTACTTACTGAATTGGGCATATAACTGGCTTAACGGAGTCTCATCCAACGATGTTAAGATATAGGGACTGATTCCTATTCGGAAACACGAAAATTGATCCAGTAAATGCATTTTATGAGATTGAAAAAAAATGTATATTGCAGGTGCTGACCCAATTCAGTTCGTTTATACAATATGTTTGATTTGATTTTTTGTTTATTATTTATTATTCAGCACATTTGCTTGAGGTAGGAAAACAACAAAGTAGACACCTTGGATTCTTAAACTCTGTCTTCGGTCGACTCGAATGTTGACTCCGACGTGGCGCTTACGTGGAATTTTTGTGATTGAATTTGATGATCAGCCAAATCCGTTTCAAAATCAATTTAGATTTCTTAAATACTTTTAGAAAAAATGGTATGATGATGAAGTATGGTTACAATTCGGTTACAAATAATAATATATCATATAATATAATTCTATGTATAAAATATGATATTATTCTCCTTTAATCATTATGTCTTCTAAGAATTGGTAGGTTGATTTTATGGTTAGATTACAAATTTAAATTTCGAGCTAAGAGTCCGGTTTAATTAGTATCAGGTCAACAGACTAACCCAGTGTAATAAGTCAGAATTTTAAACGACAAAATATATCATACATAGAGATGGCCAAATGGGCCCGGCCCGGTCCGTAACCGCCGGAGGACCGGAACCGGGACCGGTATGGACCGGTTGTGGACCGCCGATTATGAACCGGTTATGGATTTTAACCTTTTTTAGGACCGAGACCGGTTATGTAACCGGTTATAGG